TTTTTAATTTTTTTATACAATAAATCACTATTTGTCTTAAAGTTTACTCTGCATATTTTCTTTTTATCTAATTTACATATGAAGTTAATACAGAACATTGTTTCATTAAATAATTCTTTTCTTCTCGAAGAGGCTCGTCGCATGGTCACTCCAAGTGCACCATGGAACCAAAGACATTTGCTGCTGTGTTGAAATCTACAAAGACATGTGGGGTTCAAACAGATATTTCTGTATCACCAAGTGAATCTCTTACTCACCATGCAAAATGTTTACTGATCCCACCTACATAATCAGAAGAAAAGGAGAATACGAAGAGCAAAACTAACTAAAACAGGGGTAACAACCAGAAATGTGAGTTCTAAAAAGGCTAATAAGAACCCACTCAACAAACAAAAATTGAAAGCAGCCCTCTCTAAAATCTCAAAAAGAAATCAGAAGCTCAATCTATGACTGAATTTTCTGATATCTCTGACGAAGAGACTAAAATGGAGGTTATAAAATCAATGTCACCTCTAAAAGAAACACCCCCTGTGAGATTAAAGAGGGGTACATTCTCAAAGAATGCTGCCTCAAACACAATGGATTATAAAATAATCCAATGGAACTGTCGTGGTTTCTGCAACAACTTTTCTGACATTAAACACTTGACATCATCTACCTCATCTCTGTGTTGCACTCCAGGAAACCCATCTAAAACCTGGAGAAAGAATTTCTTTACAAGGATATGACCTCTACTGCAAGGATGATCAACCGTGCCAGTGGAGGTGTGGCTATACTAGTCTCAAATTGTGTTCCATCTTTACCGGTACAAATAACCACTGATTTGCAAGCTTTGGCAGTCAGAATATCTATTGGCGTAACTGTCATACTTTGTTCTATATACTTGCCACCAGATGTCAGACTCAATGAGGATGAATTAGATACTGTACCTTGGTTGAACAGCTGCCAACCCCCTTTATTCTACTCGGTGATTTCAACGATCACAATCCAATGTGGGGGAGTCTCAACATCAATTTGAGGCAGAGCCATTGAACGACTCATAGGCAATCAGCAACTATATTTATTTAAGAAGAGAAGCGACATACTTCCATGCCCCAACAAGAACATTCACTGCCATTGATCTATCATTAGCAAGTGCAAACCTGTTTTCAGCATTTACATGGTTGATCTAATCCACTCTAGTGACCACTTCCCAATATTTTTAAAATATCAAGGCAGAGAAAGCTGTGAAACAGCCCGTCCACAACACTGGAAATTGGAAACAGCCGATTTGGCCTGCTTTTTCCTCTATGTCCAACATCACTGAGGAAATGGTGAATATTGCTGATATCAATGATGCAGTTGAAGTTGTCACTTCCATTATTGAATTATTCAGGCAGCTGAAAAAACAATGGGAAAAAATCAACAAGATATTCAAAACATCTGAAACTATGGTGGAACCAGAATTGTGAGGCAGCATACAAACAACAAAAGAAAGTATGGGGGATTTTCAGAAGATACCCCACTGCTAGTAATATGATCACTTTTCAAAAAGCAAAGGCAAATGCCAGAAGAATAAGAAGGCAAAGCCAAAGGGATTCTTGAAGTATGTTTCTAGCATAACCTCTTTCACCAGTTCAAAAACAGTTTGGGATAAAATCAATGGGAAATATGCTTCTCACTCTATGTCCATGCTGGAAAAGAATGGCACAATAATAATTCTTCATCTAACGAGGAATATAATGTGCTATTTACCAGCATAGAATTATACACAGCAATGTTATGCTTGGGGACTACTGCTGTAGGCCCAGATAAAATCCACTACAGCATGATTAAAAAATATGTTTGGCAATTCCCTTAGTAAGCTTTTGAATCTGTTTAACAGAATATGGAGACAACATACTTTTCCTGACTCTTGGAGGCTATCGATTATTCCCATCCCCAAGCCAGGTAAAGACCACAAGAATCCCTCTAATTAAAGGCCAATCTCTCTGACGAGTTGTCTCTGTAAACTCTTTGAGAGAATGGTAAACAGACATCTGATGTTTTTCCTAGAGGAAAAGGACAACTTTTCACCATATCAGAGTGGATTTCATAGGAACAAAGTACCATGGACAATTTAGTAGATCTTGAAGCATTTGTTATAGAGAAGACCTAAGTGCTGTCGTCTATCTAAAAACACAGACACTATGATCGCTGTTGGCGATACGGGATACTTTGTGATCTGTACCAATTTGGATTACGGGTTAATTTGTCAATTTTTATAAAAAAACTTCCTACAGAATCAAAGATTCCAAATTAGGATGGGCATCACTTTATATAGGCCTTTTACCCAAGAAGGTGTTCCTCAAGGTTCCATTTTGAGTGTAACCCTGTTCCTAATTAAAATTAACAGCATAGCTAGCTATCTCCCACATAGTGTGGAACACTCTCTGTATGTGGATGACTTTCAGATTTCCTACCAGTCTAATAACATGAGTTTCATTGAGAGAGAACTGCAAACCTCCCTAAATCACAGACAATTGGTCCAAGATGAATGGCTTTACATTTAATGCAGGTGCATCCACTTTTGCCAAAGGCATGGTTTGCACCTGGATCCTGAAATTTATTTAAATGGGGTTAAAATCCCAATGGTTAACGAGGCTAAGTTTTTGGGTGTTGTGTTTGATCAAAAATTGACCTTTTTGCCACACTTGCGCAATTTGAAGAATAGATGTCTAAAATATCTGAACCATTTAAAGGTTCTATGCTGCTCATCCTGGGGAGCAGACAAATGTTCTATGCTCAGGATTTCTAGGGCCCATGTCCGCTCTAAGCTGGATTATGGATATGTTGTGTATGGCTCTGCATGAGAATCTACTCTTCGGATGCTGGATCCAATCCATCAAGCATTGCATTTGTGCACTGGTGCTTTCCAAACTTCTGTTCAAAGTTTGTATGTTGATGCTTATGAGCCTCCACTATCTCTTAGGAGAGAACAGTTCCTCTTTTATATTAAACTGAAATTTCAGACCATACCTTTAGTTTATTCTACTGTATCAGATATCAGCTGAAAATATTATTTGTAGCCCATCATCTAGTGTCCCTACATTCGTCATAAGAATGGAGAATGTAAGCAGCACGATTGACCTGGACACAAGGAACATCTCACAGGTTGAGGTTAATAGTATTTCACCTTGGTCAACTCCAGCAATAAATGTTGACTTAAGCTTAAAGCAGTTCCTGAAAGAAACCATGCCAGATTACATCTATAGACAGCACTTTGCCGAAATTCAACATCGTGACAGGAATTTAATTCCTATTTATACAGATGGATTTAAATCAGATAATTATGTTGGCTCAGCTCTTGTTTGCCAGGATGAAATCGTGGCAGAACAAATGTCACCAAATTCTTCCATCTTTTCTGTGGAGTTGCAGGCTATTTATTTAGCCCTAAAGTGTATAAGTAGGAAAGGTCATCGTTGCCGCGTTAATTAATATGCATAGTTAATTAATATGATATAGTGATTAAAAGAATAATTTTGATTAAATTAAGGACATAGATGCATATTAATTAACGAAGTTTTCAATAATATATATAGCAGAAATCCTGGTGGAAAAGAAAATGCAAAGTACAGAAAACACAGAGAAATTGAAAAATTAAAATCGGAAATTTGGTATTTGAGNCTAAATCAGTGAGCTTGTCTGCAGTGTCCAGGAATTTGGCGATGTGGTTGTGCAGATCTCTTATGTACCTTCATGAGAATTAAGGTCTTTATTAAGGAGGCCTTTTTTGCTGGTTCCTGAGACTGAAAGAAATTTGGGAAAAACTTAAATCCATTTACTAATGTGTGGCAATTTTGTATATGTTTTAGCTTGGGCGGACTTAGCATTAATATCAGGCTTGATCTTACCTTATGGTCATTTTTTGTCCAGGCGCTGTGTTCTAATCAAGATTCGAGATTACTGGCGATAATGGTGGGACAAGGTATCGCTCCGTTAGCGTATTCCCACATTCCATCCCTTTAGAGTACGGCTTTGGCTTGAAAACCCCACGTATCATAATTTTCTCAATTTAATAGCTTGACTTTAAATGAATTCATCATTTGCAGATGTGCAAATTGATAGACGAAATAATAAAGGAAAAAGATACGAAACAAGATGTGGTTGTTCGGTTTGGTTTCGCTGTGGTGATAGCATCTCATCCCATAACCTGTCATTAATTGGGAATCAGCAGACACACAACAGATGATACATACAGTAATTGTTAAAGTATCTTCATTTAATCAAGGAATTAATGCACAAATAAGTCTGTACATAACTGTGGGACGAACATCTGTACGTATCAACAGATCAAGATGGCAAACAGTCATCGAAGCTTTTTGGCGCGTTCAGGATATGTCCCTCTAGCAGTCCAAATTGGTTAGTGTCGAGAGTACAGACTCCTGCAGTTCAGAAAGTACCCTTCCAGGGTTCTTTCTGAAATGCAGGAGCTGGTAGCAAAGTTATTTGTTTGGCACCATGGAGGAGTATATTACTGCACTGACGTGAAGAAATCTCTCTCTATTTCCATAGCTGAAGAATCATTTTTATCGTCGTCAAATTTGTCGTTTAATGACTTACATTCTCCAGGACAATGGTTGAAGAACAAATTTTTGGTCACTGTCTTCATCACTGGACTGGCCTTGCAGTTCAGACAAATTTCTATCAATATCATGTGATCTATCATGTTCCTTCCTTAGTTCGTCTGTTGACACTGAAAAATTATCCAAAAATTGAGGTCATGGGACCTATTGGTAGAAACAGCCTCCCCTCAACAAGCAACAAAGCTTTTGGCAATGAAGACTCTTGGAGATATGGGAGTTTCAGTCACACCACACCACACAGAAGTTTAAACTCATCACGTGGTGTGATATCTGAAGATGATTCAGATATTCAGATCAAGGTGTTGCTGCTGTTCGACGCATCTCCATTCATCGCATCACCAACTAAACATCTAATTCTCGTGTTTCAGAAGCTGACATTGCCATCCTTCATTACAGGATACCTGTGCTGCCCAGTTTGTCCATATATTCCAAATCTGCTGCATTGCTTTAAATGCCAGCAGTTTGGACATTCCCAGACCTCCTGCTGAGGCAAAAGCTTATGTGCATAGTGTGGAACTGAAGGTCACGACAGTACCAAATGTAAAAGTACCCCATGCTGTGTGAACTGCAAAGATGCCCATCCTGCCTACTCCCGGAAATGCCCTACATGGCAAAGAGAAAGAGATTCAACGGGTAAAAACTGTGATCATCATCCCATATCCAGAGGCTCGTCGCATGGTCACTCCAAGTGCACCATGGAACCAAAGACATTTGCTGCTGTGTTGAAATCTACAAAGACATGTGGGGTTCAAACAGATATTTCTGTATCACCAAGTGAATCTCTTACTCACCATGCAAAATGTTTACTGATCCCACCTACATAATCAGAAGAAAAGGAGAATACGAAGAGCAAAACTAACTAAAACAGGGGTAACAACCAGAAATGTGAGTTCTAAAAAGGCTAATAAGAACCAACTCAACAAACAAAAATTGAAAGCAGCCCTCTCTAAAATCAGAAGCTCAATCTATGACTGAATTTTCTGATATCTCTGACGAAGAGACTAAAATGGAGGTTATAAAATCAATGTCACCTCCAAAAGAAACACCCCCTGTGAGATTAACTTTCTTAAGACCAGGGTAACGATCTGTCGCACCCCCCATTGTTATAACAATGTACTAGGGTACCGATTCGTCGTTACCCTGCAAAAAATCGATTTTAATGAAAATTTTTGGCAACAGATGCCACCACTTGACTGTAGTGTGTTGTCTACCATNTTCACAAACTCGGCCACCCTTCGGTCCACATTAGGCTGAGTTTTCGAGACTACTGTATAGTGCGAGTTTTAGTGTTTCAAGTATATGTAATTTTGCCCGTTGTATGTTTTTTGATAAAAAGTTATGAAGTGAATAATTATACAAAGCTTTAATTTTCACATGTAAATGATAATGTGCTACAAAATATTGCTGCTATACATGCAGTTTAAAATGTCTTTCACCATAGTTTGCTTCCTAAAAATTAATAAAATTTATATCCGAATTTTCCGGAATTCAAATATTAATCCTTTATCTTTCAAAGATAAACTGACATCTGCAATACTTACTTTGCCAAACAAAAGTAACATGTTGCTAGGTACTTATTATAGAATGCGAGTAACGAATGCCAAGGCAACAGATTGACTTGCGAAACTTCGTTACCCGTGTCCGATATTTCTATTGCACTTTCCAATAAACAAGAATTTGCATTTAAAGAAGAGTGGTTAAAAGATCCTGAATTTAAAGACTGGCTTCAGCAAAACATGAACAGCAAAGAATCCAGTTACTGTAAATGTAATATTACATTTAAAAATGCAAATGAATCTATGCTAATAAAGCATAAAGATTCAGCCAAACATAAAAGTAATGATCAGTCTACTAATCTAATCAACAGCTGTTATTACTCAATTTCTTGATAAGAAAAGTCAACAGAGGATCAAATAGCCAAGAGCGAGTTAATAATCACTAGCTTCTTTTCTGTTCGTCATCCCATTTTCTCATGCCAGTCATTTTGTAACAATGTGTAAACATGCATTTCCAGATAACCAAATTGCTGGAAAGTTGACAATAAAGAAAACAAAACTTTCTTACATTATCAGAATGAAATATCATTTCGTGAAAAGTCTCATCTTACCAAAATATGCAAGAATCAAAAATTTTCAATTATAATAACAGAGTGCACAGATATCTTCGTCACTCAAATCTTGGCTGTTGTACAGTATTTTGATACAGAGAAAAACAATGTAGCCGATCATTACTAGACACAGTGTATGTAGAAGACAGAACTGCTCAGTCTTTATGGTGCCATCAAAACTCTTTCCTCCGGATCATGGCATTATCATTGGATTTGGTAGTGATAACTGTTTCTCCATGATGGGCATTAACAGTGGATTTCAGAAACTGTTGAAAGATGACATCCCGTCTGTTTTTGTGATGGGTTGCATTTGTCATTCATTCACTCTATGCGCTAGTCATGCAGTCAGTGTTTTACCCTTGTACTTAGAGTTCAATTCTTTTCTGAAGGATTTAACCTCCTACTTCTCTCGCAGTGCTAAGTGGCAAAGAGGTTTTATACTAATTCAAGAAGTTGCTAATATAGCTACACGTAAAATTCCCAAAAGTGGCACGGTTCGGCAAAGATATTAAAATCGGCTTAATAAAGCGAAAGAAAGCAAATGTGCTGAATTATTAGTAGATATTGGAGATGACGAAAAGGGAGGAGATGTCAATTAAAGTAAGTTAAACAGGTATTCTTTGTTTATTTTTATGTTATTACTACCTGGGGAATTTTTCAGGTCTAATCTGGGAATTGCAAAAAGTGAATGGCTACGAGAGCTTCAAGGTATTGGAAGACAAGGAAGTTCATCATAGTTGTTAAATTTACGTTTCTTTACAGTTAATATATGCTATAAAAAATTCACGGAAAGTCATTCTGCCATCTAGTGAGAGAAAATAAAGTAAAATTCACACATTGCCTGACACGTTAAGCGAAAAGTGCTGACATCATTAGGGAATGTGCTGATTAGTTTGACTGAAGTGACATCACGCAGTATGTTGATCTTGGGTCAATTCTTTTTATAGACAGACTATAGTATCTACAGATTTATAAGTTTTTTTCTATACAGGATTTTGAAAACTGTCAAAAGCACAAAAATAATTGATGATCCAGTATACAAAAATTGTCATAAATTGGTAACTGTTTGTCATACAGAGCTGTTTTTGATTCATTTTTTCTCTCTTGTAAGGTTGCAAGAGAAGCAACCTTACAAGAAAAAAACTTTTATCAGTTTTCAAAAATTTTGTTAAATTCAGACATTTAACCAGCTTACATCCAAATTTTTGTTACGGGAGTACCACTTTTCCAGTAATGCACAGTGAAAATGGTATGACTATGGAGCATTTGTCAGAAAATGAATTAAAAATTTTCCACATTTCTTACGTACAGTATTGTAGCAATGTGTTGACGGCAGCATAGCCCGGTAGGTGAGATCCTCAGTTACTCTGCTGCACGTTGCAGGTTGGAATCGTGCTTTTTTTATTTGTAACAAAGAAAAATTAGTATAAAATTAGGTGGTACGTACTTAAAAGTTTCTTTTTTGTCTACTCTCGAGGTACTCGTACAGCAACACTAGGAGTTGAGAATGTCGTGCAATGTAAAATCATTGGCAATCATCACATAGCTAGCTCATATCGTGTAACTAATATTCTAAAGTTTCTCATCTTCTTTTTTTTAAATTTTTTCATACAGATGCTTTTCTTACTTTTAAGAATGGCCTTTTTTTCCAGGATGAAACGGGGGCACCAGGCATCGTCGTGGGAGTTAGCATCGATGGAAAACCCGTGTGGCAAGAAGGTACGATGAGCAAAATCGGGTTTTTCCCACGCTCTGACATCACAAAATTCTCTAATAACCAATAATTTATTTAAATTTTAAATAAATTATTGGTTAAGTTAATGGGAGTGTCGCAAGCACCAAAATAAGCAGTTAGGACACCAACTAAAAAAAGGGTCAAAATCCACCGTATTACATTTATAATATACATAATTGTAATATATACAATAAGGAAGATGGATTTTCTGGTAGGTTTGGGATACGCAGACATCGAGAACAGGGTACTTTGCACAGAAGACACTGTAATGAGAATAGCCAGCATCAGCAAGAGCATCACCATGATAGCGGTGGCAAAACTGTGGGAAGAAGGGAAATTAGATTTAGATAAACCGGTGCAAGAGTACGTACCATACTTTCCCAAGAAGACGTACGAAGGCAAAAAGGTGAGAGTTCTTCAAACTATAGTTACGCAATTAAAAAACCCTGCTAACTTAACAAAACAATTGAAGGTCGACATCACCTGCCGTCACCTGGTTTCTCACCTGAGTGGAATCAGACATTACGAGAAAAACGTTAAGAAGGAACAGGAGAAATTGGATAGTGTTTCCTCAAAAGTAAGACGGACTTTTATAATGTTATTAAATGTATTTTAACTTTTATAGTTTTTGTACTACAAATTCTTAAAGGAAGACAAGGATAATAAAAATAAATCCATAAAAGAAAGTCAGGAGGAATTAGAAATGAAAGAATATTTCATTAAAGATAAATACGAGAACGTAAAGTCCGCCTTGGATTTATTCAAAGACGATCCTTTAATTCATAAACCAGGTAAGCATCTTTATGCTTTCATTTGGGAATGTTTAAAATCTCTTTTATCTGAATTCCAAATGAAATACAGGAACCAAGTTCTTATACACCACGCACGGCTGGACTCTAGTAAGTGCCATGGTGGAAGCCGTCGTCAAAGAACCCTTTGATGTGTACATATGTAAACTGTTCAAAGAATTAGGGCTGACAAAAACCTATTTAGATGTTAACGAACCCATTATCTATCATAGATCGAGGTCGGTATGTGCGACAATTGTTTGTTAGTATATCAATATCCAGCTTGGCGGTAATTACCATTGTTTTTTTTTTTTCAATTGCAGACACTACTGTAAAGACAAAAAGGGGAAAGTGCAAAACACGCCTTATGTTGACAACTCGTACAAGTGGGCTGGCGGTGGTTTTCTTTCCACGGTCGGCGATCTGTTAAAATTTGGAAACATCATGCTGTACAGCCTGCAATACACAGACGAAAATGAAGACATGGGAAAGATTTCCAAAGAAATGGGCGAAAAACAGAAAACAAAAACTGAATCGCCCTTGCCGGAAAAGTGCAAAAATTCCACTTCCACAGAAAACCAGGATAAATCTTCCATGGAAAGCCGACAGATGGATGGGTGCGGATGTAAGCTGAGGGGTTACTTGAAGCGAGACACGGTAAAGATGCTGTGGACCCCAGTGGAAAACACAGAAAGGCCCCATGAACCGGAACTGAGATACGGAATGGGTTGGAGTGTGGTGTCACATAAGCAGGATTATGGTTACTGCAGGGAACAAAAGTTTAACGCGTCGCACACCGGTCTGGCAGTGGGCGCCTGCAGTATTCTTCTAATACTTCCACGCCAGTGTCGGGGGGGCACGGATGCAGTCGACTGTAAGTGGGACCACCCACCCCAGGGGACGGTGATTGCCTTGGTATCCAATCTGCAGGGCGTCGGCCTGAGAAAAGTCGCCACGGAAATCGCCACATTGTTCGACGGAATTCATTAATTGTTCCATTATTGTTTTTACCACATTCTAAATGGCGTCGCGTAATTACATGTGGTCGAAATTGTCTTTCCGGTAATCAAAACGTTAGGAGGAACACAAAGATCAAAATAAATTGTTCCAAATTCTGTTATGGCTAATTACCAAATTGTTACCAGTTTCCTCACAATAAGAAATTTATAACACTAGAAACGTCAGAGGCGTTTATGTGAAACGTAAAGAACGGCACAGTTTTCTTTTTTGTTTCAGACCACATTGAAATTTTGATATTTACATACTTCATCAAAGTTTATTGTTCCGTTAATGCACGTTAATGTTTTGCCTCTAGATGTTTAGCCATTGTTATAGCATTGTGTGTTGATAATGCTTATAGTTGTTCTTGTTATAAGCTTTTAAAAAGAAAAAAAAAAAACGAAAAGTTGTGATGTAATCGTTAACGGTTTGTTAGTATAAATATCTGAAATTTTGAAAATTTTATCCATTTCACTGGAAGATTAATTGAGAAATCGTCAGAATTCTATAAATGTTTTTGTATAGAAATTTTTAACTCACTGCCAGAAATGTCATGTTATTAGTTTGTACCATTGACGGAAAAAAATAATTCCTTGTTGATAAATCTTTTGACTACAAATTATATAATTAATGTGTGAAGTTCATTCGTTTAAAGTAACAAGACCTCGATTCTAGGACTTTATGTAAACAATAATGTGTATACTCGTTTGGGATCATTCGCATTAGTCAAGTTACTTGCATTGGAGTTAGTTTGTTGGCAAGTAACTCGAATCAGGCAGATTTTAAAAATGGCATCGAGCGAGTAATGCATGCTGGAATTTCAACAACTGAAATTGTTAACAAATTATTAACAATCTTGGAAAGTTATGATAAACTGAAATGGTTAATATGGAGGAGCAGAAGAAATCGCCTCGGTGAATCTGCAACTCTTAACTATTTTAAGAGTCGCAGATTCACCGAGGCGATCAGAAGATAATGTGCCTCCTGTTATTTTGTGTGTTTATCCTATGGGCAAAAGGGGGCAATTGCCTGGAGGACACCACCAACACGGGGCATCAAATCAATCTTTTGTAAGAAAATTGTCCAAGGTTAATACAGTACGTGGGGTCCCCAAATTCAAATTTGCCAGGCCCCACAAAGTTATAACGAGCTGTTGCAAAATAATCCAAGAATAAAAGTAGAAATCATACTCAAGTTGGAAGAACGTCAATGTACGGTACTTGAAAGAATATTTTGAGTCAGATTCATATTGGTCAAGTGGTTTCAGACCACTTGAATTCAGGTAACCGACTAATGTGAATGAGCCCTTTGGCTTTCGACAGAACCGGTGATTTCATATACAAAATCAAAGGGCTTATTTTCACCACCCAATATATTGTAATTACAATTGGAAATAACACACAAAATGAAAAATGAATCTGGTTCCTGTTGTTTAATATGATTCGAGTCCATAGAATCGAGGTCTTGAATATGCCGAATCAAATTCTCGAAACAATCGGTGGTACACAGTCTACCATTACTGACAATTGAGTATTAGAACTAGTGTTATATAAAAAAAAATAATAAATTCAGTGTTTTTGGACCTACAATCTGGATTGTAACTTTTGTTTTTTTCCGAAGCAAAAGCAATAAAAATAAATGCTACAATAAAAACAGTGTTGCTGTATTACGACAATCTTCCAAACTGCTTGTGACAATTAAATGTAACGCAGTGCTCAATTACAATAAATCTTTGTTGTTCGGCAAAAGTTGTATAAAAAAATTTATTTCAAATATACAACATTCAATACTATTTGTTGTTAAATTACAATTTATTTATAAATTCCAACAAAATTTTCCTTTTTGTATAATGATGCGCACTTAACTTTCTTTTTATTTCCCCGAATACACTAGTTTGTTTGGACTGTTGAGAAATCAACACACAATCTCCACGTTGATTTCCTAGATATGATTTTTTTCCTTGGTGAAATCATGAAAACACAAAGGAAACAAAACAGAATGTTGCAAATTATTCCAGACTATGACACAATCCCATAACTCAAAATAAATACTGTATCTGTTCATGGCAAATTCCAATAAAGAAATTGCTGCTGTTAAACAGCACAGAACACTCGAATTTTCACATATATACACATGTCCCCGTCGTAAATTCCATTTTGCCCATTAAAGAAGGGTTTGTAATTAACACATTCCAAATAATCCGTAACATATTTAAGTATAAACTAGGATAAAGAGAACACAACTCTGAAGGGGGGAAAGAGTTCCAATAAATTTGAGCTTCCGTTTGAAAACTGCGGATTGTTAATTACAATATTACCCTCGTTTGAAAATGCAACATGGGGGTGGCAGTGACACTGCGGATTAGTTCTTTCTGCTCCGCTAACCATTAGGTGTATACGTCACAAAATAGTCGTTATATTCGCGTATGATGTTTCTGTACACAGGGTTAAGGGAATATTCGGAATGGATTGCAAAAATTCCAAAAAATATATAAGAATTTCAAAATTGTTTCCGCAATGCAGAAACCAAAGTTCGACTAGAAGGAATTGCTTTTTCTGTGGACTTACACCTATTTATTTTACAGAAAACTGATCGGAAAAACGATATCTCTTAAATTTTAATGGCAGTCATTGCCCCAAGTGAATGCCAAAAACACAGCCATTGACATCATTGAAAATAATAATAATACGATTTCTGCTGAAGTTTTCACAATCTCAAAAGTGAAAAATGTAGCAAACGTTTAAAATGACTAAATATGAAACTAGAAAACAATACATAAATATACATATGTATATTTATATATAATTTTTGTGTGTGTTTTCTGGTTAGAAATTACATTTTTTATAATATATATATATATGTGTGTGTGTATATATATATAGATATATTTTTCTTTGGGCATATCACGTAAAATATTTCTTGTAATATTTCAATTTTTATAAATAAATATTACACATATCAACAATTAGAAATACATTTATACAAGTTCATATTTCAATTCGTTTTTTTTGAAATTTTTTGAGCATGTCTCCGCTCGACAAACGACGTTGCCTTGAACGTCTGTGATCTTTTGTTTTTGTATTGTTTTTTTATAGTATATAAATGTGTCTGCGACACATGTCGGTCCATTGGGGAAATAAAATCGACCGAAAGGAATGGTGGGATGAATAGGAACGTAACGGCACGCCGTCAAACTCACGGTCAACTTCGATTCAGCTTTAGAACCACGATCTCCATGGGAGGCAATTGGATGTTGGAGTCTTTCGAAAATTTGGACCAAGAGTACATCAGAGAAAGCGACATTTCTTCCACTTGAGGGCCAAAATAGTTTGGAAACGTATCCGAAATATTTATCTGAAAGTATACATGTGATATATTTTTAAATTATAAGCATTCATGTGCATTTAGTTAGAGCAGAACCCGTACAAACCTACCAACAAGAAGTACAGTAGCGAGCCATGCTTCTAACATGGCTAGGTTAAACAATCGAGTTCTGCTTTAACATGATATTACAGAATAAAAAAAAGAAATCTAGCAACAAGTTTCACAACTTTCCTGGCTGTTATGATATTTTATTTTAAAAAATAGCTTTTATATTATTAATCATAAAAATAAAAGTGTGTGTGGTGCCTTCTGCTATCAGATTTTGTTACAAAAACTTTTTATATTTTTAATTGTCATAAAATGGGAAGAGACTTGATTTTGAGGGGAGATGAGTTTTATAAATAAATAGATAAAAAACTAAATGCTAACAAGTAAAATCTTCATTACGTCAAACCCCACTGGAGACACGACAGGTGACCACCCTCTATTTCCCCCATCCTCTTGACTTTTCACCACCAAAATTTAATAGCATTGATATACTTATACGCAAGCTACCATGCCAAATTTCATTTCTTGATCTTCACCCCATCCCATCCCGAGATATTAAATGAAATAGGCACCAACATGCACATCCACAGAATTGTTTTTGACTTTTTTGAGTTCAGGGACTCAAAAAGTGGAAATTTGCAAAACACTCAGAGGGTCAAATTTGACATGATTCAAATACATTCCTTTGTTATGTATACATAGCAGTCAGGATAGTAAAAATGGAAAGTTTAAAAATATAAATTATTTACATAAAACGATTTCGTGATTATTTCTAAACGTTAACAGTGGTGGCAGAACTACAATTGACTCACCGTTCCATTTTTCAAAGAACAGCTGGTACCCCACATTTTATAACTGCAGTCGAATCCCATCCGGTGGAGAAACAGAGCAGTCGCATTTGTCGGCAGGGCGGATCCATTTACTAATGTTCTCAAATTTAACAAATGCATATCACAGGGTAGAGGAGTTCCCACCGGCGAATATGAAGGTCTCAGAAGGACTTCGTTCCCCGTTTTGACCCACTGCCTGACCATGATGAAAACCGGATGAAGCAATGACAGCGAAGCGTGTAATGACAACAGCGAAGGGTAAGAATTTGCTTCTGGCTGCATCTGCAAATAAAACAGAACACGGTGACGAGAGACAATTAAGTCTTCTGCAGAAACTGGAGAGAATTTCAACCTGTGGCATGTTGTATGTCGGTCTTTCGACTAAAATCCTGAACTTGCTGGGTGTCCTGCGGTTATCTGTCACACCCTGCTGAAGGCCGCGGTTGTCATCCTGATTCAATCTCCTGTCTAAGAACACTTCTAACCATCCTAAATTCAAACGGTTACAATTAATAAAAATCACATTCAAATAATTTTTTACGAAAACAAAATAATAATAAAATACAAACCTGGTTTCAGAGCAGCAACACCAAGCGACTGTCCAGTGAGAAGGGTGAATCTAGTGCTATTGTCTTGTAGGTAACTCATAGTGGTCATGGGATAAACGTTTGCTTGAATGGGAAGTTTGTCAAAAGTCTGTCGTTTTGTTATCTGAAAAATGGAAATTTTTTATGAATTCTTGCTGCAGTAATAGTTTTGATAATATAATACAGTAGAGCGTCGTTTATCCGAAAGTCTGTTATCCGAAACGTCGGTTATCAGAAAGAATTCCAGTCGGCAAATTTAAATTTTTGCTAGTGCTGTGGCGCTGCAATCTTTGGCTATATCTTGGGCTACTCCAATNAAAAAAAAAAACGAAAAGTTGTGATGTAATCGTTAACGGTTTGTTAGTATAAATATCTGAAATTTTGAAAATTTTATCCATTTCACTGGAAGATTAATTGAGAAATCGTCAGAATTCTATAAATGTTTTTGTATAGAAATTTTTAACTCACTACCAGAAATGTCATGTTATTAGTTTGTACCGTTGACGGAAAAAAAAATAATTCCTTGTTGAGAAATCTTTTGACTACAAATTATATAATTAATGTGTGAAGTTCACTTGTTTAAAGTAACAAGACCTCGATTCTAGGACTGTATGTAAACAATAATGTGTATACTTGTTTGGGATCATTCGCATTAGTCAAGTTACTTGCATTCGAGTTAGTTTGTTGGCAAGTAACTCGAATCAGGCAGATTTTAAAAATGGCATCGAGTGAATAGTGCATGCTGGAATTTCAACAACTGAAATTGTTAACAAATTATTAACAATCTTGGAAAGTTATGATAAACTGAAACGGTTAATATGGAGGAGCAGAACGATTTCTTCTGCTCCTCCATATTAACCGTTGAATCGGTGAATCTGCAACTCTTAAAATAGTTGGCATCAGAAGATAATGTGCCTCCTGTTATTTTGTGTGTTTATCCTATGGGCAAAAGGGGGCAATTGCCTGGAGGACACCACCAACAAGGGGCATGAAATCAATCTTTTGTAAGAAAATTGTCCAAGGTCAATACAGTATGTGGGGTCCCCAAATTCAAATTTGTCAGGCTCCACAAAGTTATAACGAGCTGTTGCAAAATAATCCAAGAATAAAAGTAGAAATCATATTCAAGTTGGAAGAACGTCAATGTACTGCACTTGAAAGAGTATTTTGAGTCAGATTCATATTGATCAAATGGTTTCAGACCACTTGAATTCAGGTAACCGACTAATGTGAACGAGCCCTTTAGCTTTCGACAGAATTGGTGATTTCTTATACAAAATCAACGGGCTTATTTTTGCCACCCAATATATTGTAATTACAATTGGAAATAACACACAAAATGAAAAATGAATCTGGTTCCTGTTGTTTAGTATGATTCGAGTCCATAGAATCGAGGTCTTGAATATGCCGAATCAAATTCTCGAAACAATCTGTGGTACAGCGTCTACCGTAACTGACAATTGAGTATTAGAACTAGTGTTATATAAAAAAAATAATAATAAATTCAGTGTTTCGGACCTACAATCTGGATTGTAACTTCTGTTTTTTTCCGAAGCAAAAGCAATAAAAGTAAATGCTACAATAAAAACAGTGTTGCTGTATTACGACAATCTTCCAAACTGTTTGTGACAATTAAATGTAACGCAGTGCTCAATTACAATAAATCTTTGTTGTTCGGCAAAAGTTGTATAAAAAAATTTATTTCAAATATACAACATTCAATACTATTTGTTGTTAAATTACAATTTATTTATAAATTCCAACAAAATTTTCCTTTTTGTATAATGATGCGCACTTAACTTTCTTTTTATTTCCCCGAATACACTAGTTTGTTTGGACTGTTGAGAAATCAACACACAATCTCCACGTTGATTTCCTAGATATGATTTTTTTCCTTGGTGAAATCATGAAAACACAAAGGAAACAAAACAGAATGTTGCAAATTATTCCAGACTATGACACAATCCCATAACTCAAAATAAATACTGTATCTGTTCATGGCAAATTCCAATAAAGAAATTGCTGCTGTTAAACAGCACAGAACACTCGAATTTTCACATATATACACATGTCCCCGTCGTAAATTCCATTTTGCCCATTAAAGAAGGGTTTGTAATTAACACATTCCAAATAATCCGTAACATATTTAAGTATAAACTAGGATAAAGAGAACACAACTCTGAAGGGGGGAAAGAGTTCCAATAAATTTGAGCTTCCGTTTGAAAACTGCGGATTGTTAATTACAATATTACCCTCGTTTGAAAATGCAACATGGGGGTGGCAGTGACACTGCGGATTAGTTCTTTCTGCTCCGCTAACCATTAGGTGTATACGTCACAAAATAGTCGTTATATTCGCGTATGATGTTTCTGTACACAGGGTTAAGGGAATATTCGGAATGGATTGCAAAAATTCCAAAAAATATATAAGAATTTCAAAATTGTTTCCGCAATGCAGAAACCAAAGTTCGACTAGAAGGAATTGCTTTTTCTGTGGACTTACACCTATTTATTTTACAGAAAACTGATCGGAAAAACGATATCTCTTAAATTTTAATGGCAGTCATTGCCCCAAGTGAATGCCAAAAACACAGCCATTGACATCATTGAAAATAATAATAATACGATTTCTGCTGAAGTTTTCACAATCTCAAAAGTGAAAAATGTAGCAAACGTTTAAAATGACTAAATATGAAACTAGAAAACAATACATAAATATACATATGTATATTTATATATAATTTTTGTGTGTGTTTTCTGGTTAGAAATTACATTTTTTATAATATATATATATATGTGTGTGTGTATATATATATAGATATATTTTTCTTTGGGCATATCACGTAAAATATTTCTTGTAATATTTCAATTTTTATAAATAAATATTACACATATCAACAATTAGAAATACATTTATACAAGTTCATATTTCAATTCGTTTTTTTTGAAATTTTTTGAGCATGTCTCCGCTCGACAAACGACGTTGCCTTGAACGTCTGTGATCTTTTGTTTTTGTATTGTTTTTTTATAGTATATAAATGTGTCTGCGACACATGTCGGTCCATTGGGGAAATAAAATCGACCGAAAGGAATGGTGGGATGAATAGGAACGTAACGGCACGCCGTCAAACTCACGGTCAACTTCGATTCAGCTTTAGAACCACGATCTCCATGGGAGGCAATTGGATGTTGGAGTCTTTCGAAAATTTGGACCAAGAGTACATCAGAGAAAGCGACATTTCTTCCACTTGAGGGCCAAAATAGTTTGGAAACGTATCCGAAATATTTATCTGAAAGTATACATGTGATATATTTTTAAATTATAAGCATTCATGTGCATTTAGTTAGAGCAGAACCCGTACAAACCTACCAACAAGAAGTACAGTAGCGAGCCATGCTTCTAACATGGCTAGGTTAAACAATCGAGTTCTGCTTTAACATGATATTACAGAATAAAAAAAAGAAATCTAGCAACAAGTTTCACAACTTTCCTGGCTGTTATGATATTTTATTTTAAAAAATAGCTTTTATATTATTAATCATAAAAATAAAAGTGTGTGTGGTGCCTTCTGCTATCAGATTTTGTTNAGAAGTGATTACTGATAGCAAAGCTAAGAAATCAATTAGCACTAGTAAATCATCAAAAATTGAGAGCTCTATTAGTGAAGATTTTTAACGTTGAGCAACAAACAAGCACTATTAAAACAAAAGGAACAGAAACAGTAAGTTCTCGTAAAAATGTTGCATTAAAAAAGAATGTATAGACAGTTACCTAAAAATGGCATTTATCTGATGTGATAATAAATTAATTCCCAGACCAAAATGTATTGTGCGTGGTTTGGTTTTATCAAATGAAGCTATGGTTCCCAGTAAACTATTGTGACACTTCTCCGCAAAACATGATCACTTGTCTAAGAAACCTCGAATATTTCAAAGATATGATAAAATTACAAGAAAAACAAAGTAAAAGTTTTGTAAAAAAAATATACAATTGCTGACCGTGTTCAAGAAGCCAGTTATTTAGTCGCAGAAATAATCGCGAGAGAAATGAAGCCTCATACTATTGGCGAAACTTTGATTCGCCCGGCCTGTACAGCAATTGTGAGAAAAATTTTTGGTGCTGAAGCAGAAGAAATAAAAAAGATTCCTTTGTCAAATGACATAATTGATGAAAAAATGACATGAATGAAGTAGACGTATTAGTGATCTATCAGTTGATATTGAAAAATCAGTTATAAATAAAATAATCAAATCAAAATTATTTATGTTTGCAGTTGGATGAGTCAACTGATATCGGTGGTAAAGTACAATTACTTGCCTTTACTCGATTTATTGAAGATAATGAAATTTTAGAAGAATTTTTATGCTGCAAGGAATTCGAAAAAACTACGACGGGAAAATATGTTTTTGATATCATGAACACACATTTTAATACGCATGGTCTATCTTGGAAATCTTGCGTGAGTGTATGCACAGATGGCACCCCTTCAATGATTGGAACTATAAAAGGATTTATTTCATACGCTAAAAAGGAAAACGAAAACATTGTAACAACTCACTGCTTCATTCATCGTGAATCATTGGTAGCAAAGACAATAGGCCCTGAACTCAAAAGAGTGTTAGAAGAAATCATTAAAATGGTTAATTATATCAAAGCTAGGCCATTAAAATCACGTATATTTGCAAAACTATGTGAAGAGATGCAATCTCATCATCATAACCTGCTTCTTCATACCGAAATGAGATGGCTTTCGAAAGGTCACGTATTAAATCGTGTTTTTGAACTTAAATATTAATATTTTTTCAACATGAAAACAAACCAGAATTTTGTGTATTACTACAAAATGATTTTTGGTGTTCCAAACTAGCTTATTTAACAGACATATTTGATCATCTGAACAAGTTAAACTCAAGCATGCAAGGTAGAAATGAAAATATTTTAATATCTATGGATAAAATTAAAGCTTTTAAAGATAAAATAAAAATGTGGAAGATAAACGTAAACGCAAATAATGTAGAAATGTTTATTCAAGTTTCCAAAGGAAAATATAACAATACAGATTTGCAAAAACTTATTTACAGTCATTTAATGTCGTTAGAAGAAAAAATTAACCATTATTTCCCTGACATATCAGTTGATTTGTACGACT